TTTATGTTTACTTTATCCTCAACCTTTGCTTGGGACGAGCAAGGATCTAAGTGTGGGGGAGCTTGTTGGTGGTCTTTAATGCCTAAAAATAACCGCTAACTCCCGCATAAAATCCTCCCATATAAACACCAAACTTAGTATTAGGGTTTATAACTAACAAATTCCACGAGTTTTGGTGATTGTTCAAATGTAGGAGGATATATCAAGAAAACATGGAAAAATACTCAAAGTGCACATACAAACAAAGCATAAAAACAAATTAGCACAAAGAATAAATGAGAAGGCCCACCTACCTATCACATCTGGGCACAAAACCCACATAGACACGGCCTAGGCCCATCAACGAACCGCCATGCGGAACGCGGTCGCGGGGAGGCTCCACCTGGGTGCGGCCGTACCCCAGGCTACGCCAATTGCCTCAAGCTTCCACGTGGCGTCCTCTAGTGGTCTCTCATACGTAGGTTGCATGGGGACATGCATGGAAAGTGCCTCCAAATCGACCATGCCATGGCTATAAATAGATGGGGGAGGCCTCCTCATTCCACACACCTACATTTGAGCTCCATTCTTCATCCAAAGTTGTAGTAGTGTCCCGCTAGTGTTCACACCTAGTTGTCATAGAGAAAAATAGGAAGAGAAGAGATGAATAGAGCTAAGGAGGAGTCGAGTTTGTCGGGTCCTCCTCAACTTTGTACCTCTACGGAGCCGACTCAATTTGAGTAATATCCAGGTTTTCTTTCAGTATTTCCAAGCTTTCTACTTGACTAAGTTTAATTCTTACTTTGCTTCACTTACGGGAACTCCGCTCGATCGAATGCTCTAGTCTAAGAATTCGGGCTAGAGTAGTAATTGTTAGCATAGACGTGGTGTCTAGGCTAGTGTTTATCTGAGTTTGTGTCCAATCCCACGGATAGTTATGGTAGCCCCAGAGGTGATAGCTCTGACCAGGCCTTTGTAATCCACCATGTTCGGATTGGTGTTTCCGTAGAGATTTTTGACAGCCTTACCCCGATCACCTCTTCCTAGTCTTTTAGAGGATAGGAAAGGTACTGTTGTTCCAAAGTAAGCATAGTAAGCCTAAACCTTGGTTATCTAGTTTGTCTTGGAAGAACCTTAGAAAACCCCTCTCTACCCACAAAAACACTTTTCCTTGGACAACCTTGATCTTTTCTAGTTCACTTCTCGTTTCCCATGGAAATCGATACCTAGGAATACTCTGGGTGAAAGCTATAGCGGTATCCGTGCGCTTGCGGATTTATCTGTTTGCATTAACAAATACCAACACCCACTGAATTATCCTTCCATGCTTGGTGGCAAAAAGCTAGCAGCAGCACCGATGACAAGATGATGAGGCAAGGAATTAATTCGCTCATTATACTCGGAGCTTGACTATATGGAACCATCGCAATGGGTGTGTTTTCCATGGAGCAGCTCCAAACTTAGCTCTGGCTTTGATCATAGCCGGCAAGGAACGCTGCTTGTGGTGTATGGTAGGGGTTTGAGGGCTTTCATTCTTGACTGCCCTCCTCCCCGGTAGTTAGAGTGTCTATCTTTTTTGGTCGCTTTTGTGTTTTTGACACGGGCACGAATGTAATCTTGAAAACTGTTGAGTGAGTGTATGTGTGTGTGTGTTGCGTGTGTGTGGTATTTGTGGGGTTGTTTGGGCTCTTGCCCTTTTCTCTTCTTAATATAACTAGGTAGCGTGCCCGTGTGTTGCTACGAGACAACTAAATCTTTTGTACTAAAAACACACGGATCGCATGATAAGATAACAATACTGTTAAATTAAATACCGATGTCAAAGTGACATTTAATTTAAAAAGCAAAGTTCGTGAAATTAACACAGTCACGGAGAGCGCGACGTCGCAGGCTCACAAACTCTACTATATAGACTTTTTCGTGATACGTCTAAGATAATATTTTATATCGGTAGAAAGAATTCTACGATATTCATTTCTTTCATGCGTCAATAAATCCATGAATAAGTTCCACTGCATCTCCATATAATCATGTACACACAAGTTCGAGTATATATGTAAATAGGTTCGTGCTAGTGCGTTACTACGGGACAGCTAAACTTTTATACTAAAAACACACGGATCGTACGATAAGATAACAATACTGTAAAAGTATATAACCGACGTTAAAGTGACATTTAATCCAAAAAGCTAAGTACGTGAAATTTACACAGTCATAGAGAGCATTGCATCGCAGGCTCACAAACTCTATTGTGTAGATTTTTCCATGATGCGGCTAAGATCATTTTTTATGCCGGCAGGAAGAGATTTTCGATATCCATTTCTTTAGTGCGCCAACAAATCCACGAATAAGTTCTACCACATATCCATACCATCCTGTACATGGCGCTGGCAAGCGAATTAGCCACAACTTATGTAATTAATTTTATAATTAGCTCATGTTTAGTCCTCCTAATTGATATCTAAAAATTCAATGTGACAGGAACTAAAGTTTAGTCCTGGGATCCAAACACCCCCTAACTCTCGACTCCTACTGGCTGCTCACTTGCACCACCATGCCTATGTGTCTGCACGCATATACTCTAATGCCAGAACGTCTAAGATGGTCTTTATTGTCCACCCTTTGAAAATATCATAACTTTAAGGTTGACATTTGTGTATGTTGTAGGATTGGGATGATGTGCACTGATCCATGAGGGTGTCCATCAGAGTCGAATTTTTTGATGCCATTATGATGTCTAAGCTTATCAATCAGACAGACACGAACTTGATTGTTAAAATATTTTCAACACTGCTTTCATATACTCCCTCTGTCCCAAAATAGAATTCATTCTTGCTTCTCGAGAAGTCAACTTTTTTTTTTAACTTCGACCAATTATATATAAAAGAATATTAATATTTATAATACATAATTAGTATCATTACATAGACCATTAAATATATTTTCATAATAAACTTATTTGAAGATATAAATGTTGCACGTATTTTTTATAAATCTAGTCAAAGTTGAGAAAGTTTGACATGTACACATCCCATAACGACTTATATTTTTGGGGCAGATGAAGTATATGCTAATGGGAGTAGTCAACTGGAAGTCGTGATGAACACAACAATACTTTCATATTATATGCTAATTGGAGCACGAAGAAACGTAGGGGAATTGACCTATATACGAATGGTGGAAATATTCGTTTAGAAAATTGCAGAAGGTTCACCAGTCTCACCATGTATAACCTGCACATCTTTTATTTGGCACCACCGAAGTTCTCAAGGAGCAGCCACTTTTTAATTTCAGGTCTGCATGCTAGAAACACTAAAATTAAGGGCCAACCTCATTGAGTCGTCTTACTTGATCTTTGCCAATTATTTCCTTCCATGCATGATTATTGTTTTCTTCCATGCATGTAGCCTCAGGTGATCGATTTGTTTCCTTCAAAGCAGGCGAGGATCGCAGGGATGACAGTTTCTTTTTCTATCGCGCGGGATATCGCATGGCCGGAAGGGAGGAGTCTTGCTTGATCTTTTGCCAATTGTTTCCTTCCATGCATGTGGCCTCAGATGATCGATTTGTTTCCTTCAAAGCAGGCTAGGATCGTAGGGATGACAGTTTCTTTTTCTATCGTGCGGGATATCGCATGGCCGGAAGGGATGAGCGACCCAAAAAAAGTCACACCAAAAAATTGTTTAAGTTCTTTTTAGTTGTAGGAGATGAGGCGCAGTTCTCCTACGTTTTCGAGGAAAAAAACCTCTAACAAAACATTTTAATCTTAGTTTAATGTTGCTTATCATTACCAAAATGTTCATATATGCAGTCATACAAACCAGAATATATAAGGTCTTGCAGATATTTTGGTGATTGACAATTGACTTCAATCTAATAAAAAGGTATGGTCCACATGCAGGTTTATGGGTGTGTCTTATCTGCACAAACAGAGAGCAACCTGATGATACTGATGTTGTTAATCGAAAGAAAAATTTTCCCTATGCTGCTTTATGTAGTAATTGTTTTTTTTATAGGAGGACCTCTAATTGTTGGAAGCAGCAGGTGCAGCTCTAATCATTACGCAGTTGTGCTGCATTTGAAAATCGAAATTGGTTGTGAAGTCAAAAGCCTCTGGAATCACGGTTCTGGGATTCGACCGAATTGGGCCGAAATTCGGTGGGATTCATCCATTTCGGACAGGCCCGAGAAAAAATGGTACCGGACAAAATATTTCGGCCCAATTTGAATTTTCGGCCCAGCCCATGGTCTCTAGCAGCCTGCATAAGCTCTCCATAGCTATAAAAGCACAAACACAGAAGTTAGAGTTTCATTTTTCCTCCCTCCCGTTAAATGGGCTGGACCTCTAATTGCGCATGTGCAAGAACCAAAAGCGCGCGACGGATCTCCCGCTCAGTTCATTCCTTCCCCTCGCCTCCCTTCCACCTCTCTCCTCTCCTATCCTGAATCCTCCCCAATCCCTAATCCCCAATCCTCCATTGTTGCTGTAATGGTTCATTCGGTGGCGTAATTGGATGGAAAACAAATCACCAAGCTACTGGTAGCAGCGGCATCAGCCAGATGAGGGCCAGGGAAAATGAAATTAGCCGTGGTGATGCTGCAGATGGGCATCAAGGGCTACAACACCATGGTCCACTACTTGTGAAATTAAATTTGTGCTTGCTGCATCTCTGTTTGAAAACTATTGCAAGCCTTGATCAAAGTATATGTATTGTTTGATCGTTTTTAATTGATTTGTCTGCTGTTCTATTTTTTATCAAAAATTCGGACCAAATTTGTCAAAATTCGGGCAAATACTAAATGTTTGACTGGTCAACTTAACTGAAAACCGGTCCGAAATTTCTGAAATTTCCGAATTTCGTCAATTTCGGTGACCACCGAATTTTTTAGCGTTTTGAATCCCAAAACCTTGTCTGGAATCTGGATGCTGCACGCACGGTCGCACCCAAACCCTACGGAGCTTCAGCCAGCCGTGGTGTTTTCCCTTTCCGCGCCCCCAATCAACTCACCGGCCGGCGGCCATGGAGACTCTGGCGGCGGCTCGCCGTGCCAAGAGAAGGAAGCTGGAGGCAGCCGAGAGCCCGGAACAGGAGAGCGAAGCAAACATCTTGCCGCTACCAGCGACGAGTGCGCCTGATTCCAGTCCTCCTGCAACCTTGGGAGAGGAACCCGGAGCCGGCGGAGAGGAAGAAGATTGGGTCGACCGAATCAGCTGCCTCCCGGACGCCATTCTCGGTGAGGTCATCTCTCTCCTCCCCACCAAGGATGCCGCCCGCACCCAAATCCTCGCCACCCGGTGGCGCCATCTCTGGCGCTCCGCCCCTCTCAACCTCGACGGCGGTGACCTCCTCGTCACCATCAATGTCGTCTCCCGCATCCTCTCTGCCCACCGTGGCCCCGGCCGCCGCTTTCGCTTCCCCGCACAACACCTACAGGACCACCCCGCCACTGTGGATGCTTGGCTCCGATCCCCCGCCCTCGACAGCCTCCAGGAGATTGACTGCTTTGCGACGGATGGGTTGAAACTGCCACCTCCGCCGGCATCTACCTTCCGGTTCTCGTCGTCCCTTTGCGTCGCCACTTTCAGCCATTGCCACCTCTCTGACGACATCACCCAGTCGCTTCAGTTCCCCCGGCTCAAGAAGCTCGCACTTCAACGGGTCATCATTTCGGAGGATTCCCTGCATAGCATCATTGCTGCTTCTCCCGTCCTCGAGGGCTTGCTGCTTTGCAGAATCTTTGGCTGCCGCTGTGTCAGGATCAACTCAGCTAGCCTTACAAGCATTGGGGTGAGTGCTGTGTATGACGGAACAATGACCATCTTAGAAGAATTCATTGTCGAGGATGCCCCTTGCCTTAAAAGGATTCTGTATCATCGATCACCACGAACGGGCACGGGACTACGCGTATCAGTTATTTCAGCACCTAATCTGGAGACCTTGGGTTGCCTGAGTTATGCTGATGGGGGCTCTTCCAGGCTCGCTTTGGGCTCAACGATTATTGAGGTACCTCTTGGTTTTCTACCTCTTGCCTACAGGTTCTGAGTTGCTTTTCTGTGTGTAGAAAAAACATGAAAATATCGAATTTTATAAATGTGCCGACGCATGTTTCGTGCAGCCATGCCGCATAAAGGAATTCTGGATCATTAACTCGACAATGCCTGCATGTACTATCAAGATTTTAGCAGTCTATATTTCTAATCTTAGCCTGGATGTGATTATTAACTTAATGAGATGCTTCCCATGCTTGGAGAAGTTGTATATCCAGGTATACATACTAAACTAGTAAATTCATTGTGTTCATATATTCTTTGGATCTGGTTTACTATTGTGTCAATTCTTCTTGAATTGGTTGTGTTTGTATACTTTTTTTTTTCCTTTTAAGTCATGCCAGGATGGAGACAAGAATTTATGGCGCCGTAAACATCATAATCTTATCAAAGGCCTTGACATCCGTCTCAAGACAGTTGTGTTGAATAAGTATTATCGAGGCATAAAGTCACAAGTTAACTTTGCAACATTCTTTGTACTGAACGCAAAGATGCTGGAGTCAATGACATTTCAATGTGAAAGGTACACTGTGACTGCTAGATTTCTTGCAGAGCAGCTCCAGCTGGAGAAAAGGGCTTCAAGATGCGCTCGGTTTTATTTTACTAAAAGGTGTCGCCATGAGTTTTTGCATATCAATCATGCCCATGATTTGTCTATAAGCGATCCCTTTGAATATGTTGAAGCAGGGGGTGGTGCATGCCTATCCTTTGAGTAGTTACTGCCTGACTTTGTACTCCTGTTTGTTGTTAAATTTTATGAGGTCTATTCTTTTTTCTAGTGTTGAAATAGGGGGTTGCTAAATGAACTGTGTGTATTGTAAGATTTGTGTAATTGTGGCAGTCTGACAGAGCCACAGTTTTGACTTACTAATCTATAATCCACTAAATCTTCATGCAGAAGTTATTGGCAATGTTTGAGTTTGCTGGTTGCATGTAATATTGTTATAGTCTTGGTTAATAAAGTAGAGCTAGTGTCGAAATATCACTTTGTTTAAAATGTTCTTTTATTTGACCTTCTTTATTAATTGTGCTCAGTAGTGCAACAGGCCACTCAATTACCAATTTGGACTTAAATTTAGCTTATGGCATAAACTAGAGCCCAAAATTTCGTTTGGTTGTTTGTTGGGCTCGTCGATGAATCACGGCTCGGCCTATTGGACTAAGGTGCATTTTAACGCGATGGCGCAAGCTCAAAGCCTGAGCCGGTGGGGCGGCTTAGCGCGAGCTAAAACGATGGATTGAAAGGCCAGGCTTAAGGGACGAATCCACCAAAGCATATTTGGAGCTTCAAATATTTTGAGCGAGTTTAAGAATTTTCTAGTACAGCACGATTCCAAAATATCTCTAGTTCCTTTTTGTAACACGCCTCCACACTAGGTGGACGAAGCAACAACTTCATTTACTTCAAACGTCCTAATTAACTTCAAACGTCCTAATTATTTTGAATCTCTACAGGCATAATTATTTTGAATCTCTACAGGCATAATTATTTTGAATCTGTACAGGCATCTTTCTGAACATGGCTGCAGATTTTTTTTTCGAGAGTGTGTCCTTATAACACGTATTTCATTAAGCAGAAAAAAAAAAATTTGACTAGTTACAACATCCCCAAGTAATCCATAGATTACCGTGGAAGGATGGATGCCAATGCGATCCAAGTAAATTATTTTGAATCTGTACAGGCATCTATCTGAACATGGCTGCAGATTTCATTTCAGTATGGGGACGCAGGCGCATCTGGCTGTTTTTCGGGAGCCGCTACTTGAAATGCTGGGATCTCCATATAGGCTTTGTAGAACCTCTCCAAAAGAGGGTAGTTTGACTGCACAAAGCAACCGCTTCTATGCATTAGTTTTCTGGCTTCTGAGCATTGCTCAGGAGAAATGATTTTACATCTAGATAGAGGTGATGTCAGGTTTCATATCGTACCATATCAATTTGGAAGCGTGTCACGCCTGCATGGATCTGGGGAAAAAGAAACACATCTGCCTGTTCAAGAGCACAAAACACACAGCAGCAGATATTTGGTAACATCCAATGTGAAACAATGCAATAATTGAAGTACCAAGGTTCATATTAAATTGATCATCAAGTAAATAAATTCAGGAAGCACTCGAGAGCAAATGGACAGAACCAGTGCAACAGGAACCTTTTAGGCACAAGGAAGATGATTACAGGACTAGTCTAAAGCACTAACCAGTTGGACTTCGTCTCCAGTAGCATATTTACTGTCACAACCTTCCAGAAGTTTTTCGATTGCTGAGCAAATCCAGGGGAAAAGTCATAGTGGGTACACACAAAATATATGCAACAAAAAGTAAGGACAAGAGAGTATGAAAGAAACTGACAGGCCAAGTTTATTAGGTGTTACAAGGAAATGCCATCTGTAATGGTACACCATATTTCTACCCAATTTTCAGAGGCGTACTCAAGGAAGAGCGATATGTAATGACCAAAAAACAATTCAATTACAGGGTGCAACAAATCACACCTTTAAATCCCTTGTCGGTGTAATTCCGAATAATCTGAAGGCTCTCATCTGAGCCTAACTTGCCATCAAGCAGACCCTGCCATGGGAATAGCATAAACCATAGATCATTACATCAATACTGATAAAGGAAACACAATATTTCATTAACAGTCATTGGTTGTAATGAACCCACAATTACTGCATAACATTGAAGAGGTTGAATGCTCGAACACACTATATTTGCAATCTGCAGAGAAGTAAGAAACATCCATCATCCATATGGCATTGGTGATTTACAATGTTAGATGTGTACACTTGAGATGATCCTGGGACCTTGTTGGTCCTTTGTTCCTTTATTTGTTATTTAAAAGTGAGTATTACTTGCAAAATACAGGCTCTCAAAAAAAAGTTGCAAAATAAAGCATGGATATCTTATTAAATACTTGAATACCCTGTAGTCTTGTAATTTCAAAAACCTTAAGAAAACCTTAGTTTTCATACCATAAAACCTCTCGAGTATTTGGGTACCTGCAGATTTATAGCTTTCTTTTTGAGATCTTGAAGCAGAAGAGGGTGTTGAGGATATTTGTCTTCAAGATACTAAACAGAAAGCAAGAAGTTTGTCAATAATACTAAAGTGGTAATTTAAAGATCAAGAAATTACAGAAGAATATAGCTCACCAATATGATTGCCAGGGAGTCACAAACAACAAAATCTCCATCAACCAATGCTGGGACATACTTGATTGGATTGATCTTTTCATAATCTACAATGGGGTTACAATTATCGGAACAATTATAGTTAATGTTAACAACTTACTAGTTACATTTCTTTCCCTCCATGTATCACACCTTTCAGACATAAAGTTGATGTATGTATGTAATACAAGATTATTTGTACTGCTAACCTAGATCGGTCCGTGTCACAGTCCTGTACTCATAATCCACACCTTCATCACAGAGAAATTGGAACAATTAGTTCACAGAAAAAGTATGATTAAATGACAAGCAATAGAACAAGAAGCTTTAATCTTGCGTGCTTCAACTTGCAGTCAAACTTGAGTAGTCTACCGTCGGAGCATTTACAGAACTTTATTACTAAGTTGGATTCACACATACTTCTTTTCTGTCCATCGATTAATTAGAACATTACCATATATATAATGCATTTCTCACGAGCTACATAGTCAAAAGACAGGTGAAGATCTGCACAATCAACTTGCTTTATCTCATGTAACTAGCCACCGATTTCCCCCAAAATCTATCGAACTGATTAATAGATCAAGAAAAGGACACATTGTCCCGAACTCCCCATCTCCCGGTAACGAGACTCCTGTTTTGGGCAAGATTCGCGCGTCGTCTGTGGAGCAGGAAACCAGAGCCAGCGGTTTGATCCAGTTACCTTTGAGGTTGAGGGCGATCCGGACTCGGAAGGAGCAGGAGCTGATCCACGCGCTGTACAGGATGGGCTTCGACGCCGCCATGGCCGCAACGCCTCCTTCTGAGACACGGCAGCAGTGGCAGCTGATTATTGCTGAGTGAGTGAAGCCAACAGTGGACGAAGGATGCTTGCCTTGGAGTTATCAAAGGAGGCAAGCCGTGAAGCGAGAAAGAAGACAAGAACGGGCGGCTGACAAAGGAGGCCGGCCGGCCGGCAATGCGATGCGCGAGAGCTGAGATGTTACCCATACCCATAGCAACGATGTTTGTCTCTCTTTTTTCTCAATCTTCCATGTCAACAAATATTCTTATTAGCCACACTATTAAGTCTCCGTGAAACAGTTTGATGGGACATGTGCAACATTGAGTTGCGATTATTGAAACATCAAGTAGAAGTCATAAATCACTGTAAAAAGGAAGAATTATCGTCAAATATTGGCCGAATCTGAATATATGAGAAATTGTTTTTTAGATGGAGGAAATAAATGCACATATACCAATCGAAATCACAAGCCTCGCTAGGAAATGATTTTTTACTATGAAAAAAAAACAAAGAGGTGGAATTATTTCACCTGAGTGTAAAAACCAAATTTTCAATTTTCAATTTTTTTAATCTATATTAAATAATCAAAGTCAGCAGAACTTCCCAATTTTTTTCAGAATCCCCCCAATATGAAACATTTTTTTATCTTTTTAATCAAATTCAATCATCTCAGCATTATTATTTCATAGAAGGAAGTCGAAATTACCAAAATACTACTTTTTTCAGGAAATAAAATACTACCTTGTTTGCCCTCCTGCAAGTGTCCCAACTATTTAACTCTAACCTCCTAAGTTCACCCACTATTTAGCTCATCCCCCTCTATCCATTATCACAAACACTTTCCATAAATTTGCAAAAGACATGAGGGTGAAAGCATCTAGGTCCCTAGTTGGGTTTCGGTGATTAATGACAATACGAGATTACTGTGACTGACGTGTGTTTTGCAGATGCAATTAAGTTAGGTCATGGTAATGGCAATTGATTGGACAATCATGGTTGTCATGCCCCTACGATAGAAATTGTTTCGGTTTTCAAAGGATGGACGACAAGGTTAAGAATGGACTAGTTCTAAGTGTTGTTTGGTGTTGAAGAGACACTTAGAGTAGTTTAGGACTTTGTTTTTCCTTTGGCCATACTATTAAGGGGGATATGAACGGGTAGCTTGACCTAGGTGAGTCTAGTGGGTTAGGTGTGGTGCACACTTGTCAAATCTAGCTCTAGATAGCTCCTAAATAGCACTTAGATCAATTGGAGCAAACTTCATTCACATATAATTGAGAGTTAGAAGTGAATGGAGTGTCAAATACTGACCGGACACTGGTTTCGGTGTGACCGGACGCTGGCGCAGAGTTCGGTCAGTTCATTTGATCAAGGTGATTTTGTTTGGTGCGACCGAACGCTGAGAGGTGAGCGACCGGATGCTGGGTGCCAGCGTCCGGTCGACTCTAGTAAGGTTCCAGAGAGGGAAAATCACGACCGGACGCGTCCGGTCACAACTTAAACACTGGATTTCGAGGAGAACTGACCGGAGCGTCCGGTCAACATGACCGGAGCATCCGGTCACCCCGCAGAGACACATAACGGTTTGTTTTGAACACAGGTGTATAAATATTTCCTCCATTCGTGTGAGGGGGTACTTTTGCTCATTCTAACAGCTGAGAAACACCGTTGAGAGTGCCAAGAAGAGCAATGTCCTAGTAAGGTGATTGAGATTTGAGAATCCCAAAGAGAGCCCTCATTAGTGAAAGCAAGAGTAGCAAAGT